TTATTTGTTCTTTTGATTAACAAGCAGAGGCAAGCATTTTTCTTTCTGTTTCCTTCTAATTTATACATGGTTAGCCAAGTGTTAGGTGATTTTTTTTCTGTTCCTTGACCTAAAGTTTTCTTAGCAACATGGACTCTATTGTGTTTCTAAGTAATGCATGTGACCACAGAAACGTGCAGCATGTAGCAGTGACTATGGAGTCTATCAGCTCAGGGTGAAATACAGGGCACTCACTACTACAGTTAGCTAGGCAGGTATCATCATCTATATTTCTAATGCAATGGGTACATTTTATCTCCTCATAATATTTATTCTATCATAGGTAGATGCAAGATAAAGATAGAAAGCATGATTTAGTGCTGTAAGAGGGCAAGTGTAGATGATCAGGTCTGTGCCTATAGACTAGGTATTAATCCAAGTTAGACTAGGGCAACAAAACATCCATGGGTGTAGACAATTTCAACACTGGGGGGGGTGAGGTTCTAAGCCTCACCTCTGTTGGCCCCCATTTTCTCACCTGATGGCCCCCCTGTGACTGTGCCTGTCTTAGGTTGTTTTTCCCTTGAGGAATCTTACCCGTCTCTGGCTAACCAGCCATCTTCCGGGGCCATACAGGGAGATGTAAAGCTGGTAAGCGAGAGAGAAGTAATGTTCTTTGAAAAGGTTAGTTTTTCACTTCTTTGCAGATTTATGCTCTGTGGCTTCTATGCCCAGCACTTGTTTTGAGGTATCTTTACCACTTGGAAGAATTATGGTACTTGGTAATTTCATGTATGATGCACAAATTCTAGTAAAGGGCTGTAATTAGGAAGGAAGAAGAAAAACTATATAAGTAGTAGATGGAAGAAAACATGAGAAGATTGATTAAGTGTCAGGGTTATTCCATTCAGTATTCCCTATAACTCTATTTCTCTAATTTTCCTATAAAACTCTTCATCACTAATTTCACTAACATTACAAAAAAGGGGGCATTCTCACTTAGGTGGAGATGGGGTAGTCAATGTTTGACTAACTGACTGCAGGTTTCGGTATTCCAAGCCAAGATGGCCATCTGGCCCCTGCGTGTTCTATTCTTCAGGAGCACTGTCCTGAAAAGCTTCTGGGAAGTTTATGTTCTCCTCCTTTCTGTGCTGCTTAGCAAAGGTTAGCTTAGTCTTTGGCAAAAATGCAAGCAAAAGCAAAGCCAGTATAATGGAGAATAACAAAATTAAGGCGGGTAATAGGGGGAGCCAGCTGCAAAGGTCCTTGATTTGTGGGGGTCTTCCTCTAGCCTGAGCTTTGTTACACAGCTTGAATAGCATGGCTCCCAGCAAGTAACTTGTCCCAGAGAATGGGAGAAAGCAGTTGGCTTGGCGATGGTATGAACATACACACTTGTATGTGTATATATATGTGTGTGTATATAATCAAAATTATGAAGAAATAATTTTTATTAGGTAGTTAAAAGAATATATTAACTTATGAGGCATTCTCCAATGTCCCATGGCTAATGTGTGGAGGAGACAGGATTAGAACTGGGTGTGTGTTTCTCCGCACAGGTATTGTTTCTGAAGTACATTCCCCAAGAAAAGGTAGAAGCCAGATGCCTGGGGTGTGGGATAGGAGGGAGAACCCAGTTGTTGCTGATCTGCAGAAGGAGCCAGGAGCATCATGGGAAAATCATAGATACCAAGGAGATACAGATTGATGTTCTCAATCACAGCCATTAATGAAATAAGAGTAGGTTATGGTAATAGCTAAAACCAAGCTGAGCTACTTCCTGGCCAAGAGGCTCTTGCAGGTGACATGTTGTAGAAGGTAAACTCTACGGACTGTTAAGAGCTTAGACTTTGAAATCAGAATTTTCTCATCATATGGATGGTGCTGTTTACTGGCCCTTACTAAATTAAATTTAATTGGATTTAGTTTCTTATCAAAAATGAAAATACTAAGACTTAGCTGATGTGGTGGGAATTAAATAATGGAATGTTTATAGTAACTTCCTCATTTCCTAGCACATTAACACTGATCCAATTTGGTGTCTATTAATTTTCTCTGTGATTTGAAATAATGTTCAGAATGAGTCAATCTATTTTAAATATCAGCACTTTTGTTTTGCAGAATAACTTGATTAAGGTGTGAGTAAAATTGTAATATTCTAGAATATCTCACCTGGCTTTAGTGCATCTCCATATGAACAGCTGTCCCTAAGGAGTGGAGAGAAGTAGTTCATCTCCATATCAGTGGGTAATTACTTGGGCCAGTGAGGGCTTATCTGAACCTGAGAGGTTGGGGGAAGGTCTTCTGCTGGAGCAGGGGAGAAACGTTCCCAAACCGCAGTTTGTAAGCAATAAACAGGTTTTAAACTTTATTTCTCCCTTTGACTATTTTCAGTTTTAGAGGTATTTTGTCCTGGGATTTCTTCTCCCTGGAGTTACATAAGGAATCACAGATCATTTTTTAATTTCATCTTGCATGATAACTCTTAATTTTAAAGTCTTCAAATATCTTTATTTCTCCTTATAGTTTTCTATGTACACGATTCTAAGTTATTTGTTTGCTTTAAACATTCTTTTTGACTTGCTATTTCTAATAGTCTGCTCTCAGTCAAATTGTCTTTGGTATGAACACAACATGAGATCTAGCCTCTTAATCAAATTTTAAGGAGTTGCTGCTCAACAGGTATGAAGTTTCAGTTATACAAAATGAATGAGCTCTAGAAACCTACTGTAGAACATTTTGCCTATAGATAACAATACTGTAGTATGCACCTAAATACTTCTTCATTATAAAAAGTTTTACCTTCTTCATCCCTACCTAGTCTTTTTTCTTTTAATTACTTTTTAGTCTAAAGGACTATTTGAGGTGTCAGCTGATTTGATCATTTTTTACTGTTTCTGCAGTAATTCTCTTTCAGTGGAAAATCTCTGTTTGCCCAAATAAATCTCCATTTTTCAGCCTGTTGGTTCATATCATGACTTACAATGCTAGAGGAAGGGTCAGGAGTTCTGTCATGGGCCCCCTCAGCAAAAGGCTTCAGGAGTCCTCAGGGATGAAGCGAAGCCTGTTCTCCCCCAGAGAGCAGGGCAAATGCTGCCACAGCAAGTGCTCAAGCGGCACATGGTGATGTCCCTGGGTCTTTTGGCATTTTCATTTCCAACTCTTGCCCAACCTACTTATGAACTGAGAGTAACAGAAATAAGGGGAGGCTTGGCCAAACAGTGTCTGCTCTGGGCCCTGTTTTGTAAGATATTCTTCAGTTTTCCATTTCTGGTCACCATGTAGTGGATAAGGTGGTTTCAAATCAGATACCACTGGTCTCTCTGCACACCCACAAGCACACCTCAGACTCTCACCCTAGGTACTGGGGGAATCGATTCTTATTCATGATCACAGCTTTCCTGTCACCCTGTTGCTACAATGGCTGAGGCTATAACTCATGAAGAACAACCTGTACTTTGCTGAATTATACAACAGGTGAATTTTTCCTTCCTTTTGCTTTTCTGGTCTATTCAGGCCTTCAACAGATTGGCTGATGCCAAACAACATTGGGGAGGTCTGTCTACTGGCTCCACAGATTCAAATGCTAATTGCATCTATGAAACAACTTCACAGACACACCCAGAAATAATGTTAACTGGACACCCTGTGGCCAGTCAAGCTGACACATAAAATTAACCATCACAATTATTTTTCTGCTTCATTTTTATTATGCTTAGATTGTTAGGCAGAGAATAGATATGAGCAGGGTGGAAAGAGAAAATGGCCAGGAAAGCCCACTAAAAAGACCCAGAGTTAATCAGTTAAAGTGTAAAATGCCAGGAGCAACTTAGCCTGGAATGCTTCAATATTCCCCAGATGAAGGAGGGTACCTCAGCATCGCCATGTCTTTATTGTGTTAATCATGCAGGCCCAGCTTATTTTTCACCTTTACCTACATGCTGTTTTTTTTCCCTACTCCTCCAGACCCTAATCAAGTAACCTGGAACCTGGGCAGGAGACAAGTATCATGATTAATTTAGCAAACAAGGCCAGATCTAAACAGTATAGTAAAAACAGGAAAGATTCCACCTTAAACCTAAAATTGCTAGTTAAAACCCAGGAAGTTAAGAAGTAAAATTCTTAACATATTCTTTAGGAAACAGACATTAATTCAGCCCACCTTGGGGGCAGGGCAAGTGGTCTTGATTGATGTGTTCCCAGAGGGAAGCTGCTATCCTGGGAAAGAATCAGAGCAGTACATTTCTTGTGTTAGTTTTGCAGAATTACCTGGAGGACTGATAAGAAACTTAATGACTCTCATCAAAGATAAACATCTTGGGACCACTTGACAAGTCCACACCGCCTAGCCATTTGTCACATTCCTGAAAAATCCTAAAAAGGGGGAACTTCCAATCTTTCAGTGCACCTCTCTCTCTCTCTGAGGTCACCCGGACATTCTCTCTCTTTAAATAAAACTTAAACCTTTCCAGGGCATCGTTCCTCCCTAAGATCACCTGTATTTTTTCTCCAAGTACGTAACTTTAAATGAAACTTTTACTCTACTTCACTGCTGTGTCTCTGCCCTTCAGTTCTTTGTTGTGGTGGGGACAAGAACCGAGGAAAATAACATCCCCCTAACATGACCACCTGAGAATTTCAGATTTGAACAGCATTCCCTCTCATACGACCTACTGGGACACGAATTGGCCAGATCCGCTCAGCTCGCCCTGGATACGGGGCAGAGTTTTCAGTTTGGGTCCTCAGTGAGGGAAAGGAGGTTCTTTGTTTCCGTCCTCCAATGGCTCATTTGAAAGGAAAAAAGATGAGGCGTGTGTGTGTGAACTTACATTGCTTGGGTAAGCCTCGTGCTCTAATGGACGAATTACCTAGAGGAGCCAGGTGAACAGCTTCCAGGAGCAGAAGTGAGGTGGGAATAAGAAAGTAGCCCCTGGCCTGCCAGACCCCCCCACCCCCGCACAAAAGCTTTGTCATTTCCTATATGGAGGCCTCCAACTGGCCCCTCCTTTTTCCTGCCCTACCCCCAGAAACTTAACTTTCATTTTCACTCTGCTGCTCCTGATCCTGTGTGTGGCTCTGAGTGCTGACCACTCTTCTTCAAGGAATCGCAGCTGACTTCTCCATTGGTGTCTGAGGGTATGCTGCGTGGTTTGTGGAGGGCAGAGGTTGGGAGACTTCAGACCAAAAACCACCAAATTTGCTTGGGAAAAAAGGCTCTGTTCTCAGGCTTCCTGCTGAGCTCGCTGGCTGGGGCCAGCTGGGGGAAGGGCAGGCTTTCTGGAAGGGAGGGTTGAGAGATAGGAAAGGCTTTGCTTGTTGCCTGGAGGAACCATTATTTCACCAGGCTGAATCTACCCCCTTCTCCTTCCCATTCAGTAATTTTTGAATTGTACATTGCTGAGAACAGCCAGAATCCTTGATTTTTCAGAGATGGAATGTCCCTTCCCCCAAAATAGAAGCAAAGGCAGAGGGATCTTTGAATCCCAATAGTTTGTCCTAATGTAAAAGTGTAGTATTTCTGTGTGACTCTAGATAAATTCTCCTTACCTTGTCCTGTTTGTGCTTAGGAGTTTCATGGTGTAACAGCTAGCAAACTCAGCAGCCTTTATCTATTTACTCATCCAGACACAGGAAATTGCTTTAATTCCTTAAAAATCACCAACAGTCTCACCCTTCTTCTTGGGCCACAACTGCCACCCAAAAACTGAGCTCACCTTAAAGATTAGGAGCAAGAGGATCATGTAGGAAGAATTTTCTGACTTTTTATATAAACAGAATGAATCAATTGATTGGTGTTAATGATATAAAAAGATGTCAGAAGAAATAGTCTTGATACCGGGGGTTTCTTGTTTAGAGAGTCGAAGAGAAGGAACTTTGCAAACACTCAGGATAAGAAAGCAAGGGAGAGGCTTTTCTTTAGAGATAAAGTGAAAGGAAAGAGCTCCTGGCTCACGCTGGGAGGGGACAAGAGAGCCCATGGTGGTGCATTGTCTAGGGGATTTATAGGCAGTTGAGGATGAATGTGACAAAGGTTTAGGGATGCAGACCTGCCAAATGGTCCTAGAATGTTTATCTTTGATGAGACACTAACACTCTTTTCCTCATATCAGTTCTTCAGGTAACAGAAGAAATTTATTGCTCTGATTCCTTCCCAGGATAGCAGTTTCTTGGTCTGGAAGCAATCGATACTACCTACCCTGCCCCCAAGGTGGGTTGAGGTACTTACCATGTTTGCTAAAAGAGAAAGTTAAGAATCTTACTTCTTAACTTCCTGGTTTTTAAAATGCAATGTTAGCTTTAAGATGGAATCCCTCTTGCTTTTACTATATTGTTTAAGGCTGGGCTTGCTCGCTAAATTAATTGCCCAGGTTGTAAATTACTTGATTAGGGGCTAGAGGAGGAAAAGCAGCATATGGGTAAAGTTAAAAAAATAAGCTGGGCCTTTTAGCAGGCTAAAGTAAATCTTACAGTGGCATGATTTAATTGATACAATGAAGACATGGGCTATGTTGAGAAATTTTCTTATCTGGGGAGTAGTCAAACATTCCAGGCCAAATTACTCCAGGCTTTTGAGCTTTATCTGATTAGCTCATTAATTTTGAGTCTTTTCTGGCTTTCTAGTTTTAACTAATCTTACTGAAGAATGCCTATATTCCTAGTTTGATATTTTTGCTCTAGAGAATTAATGTGACTCTGACTTTGCTTAATGTTTAACATGGAGTTTCAGTAGAGGTTTCTTTGCACCTTGTTACATTGCTCTGACTGTAATTATCCTGCTTTGCTTTTTCCGGAGGCCTTCACCATGGTCCCTGTCTCAGTATGAAGATAAGACCCTGAGATCCCTGAGGGAGGGAACTTAGAGCAGGGGAGCCCCCGTGTCAGATTCTTTGACTCCCAACCAGCGAAAGGGAGGGAGACGCGATGAGTTGTCGAAGACCTGAAAGGACTAGCCAGGGGACTCAGGGCGTAACAGTGCAAGAGTAGTGCTGAAAAGGCACTTCTCATATTTATTGATCACAAAATTACACTTAAAAGCAGTCAGTATTACACATCATACAATTATTAACCTTTATCCGAACTCAATGTTTAACCGCCCTTAAATGGCTGGGGTGCAACACTCCTGATCACAGAACAAATAAGGCATACTTAAACTGTGGGAGCTGAGTAAGGTAGTGATGTATCGCTCTAATACATGCTTCACTAATAACGAAGAAAACAAATCAAACAACAGAAAAGGCCAGTTTGAACCCATACCCCATGCCCACTCCGCTGCTTCCTACAGAAGGTACAGCTTTACCCACCTTCCTCGGAGCATGTGGGAAATACCAGTCACACCTCTGTTGTCAGTCTGACTTCTCCTCTGACCAAATCTTACTTTATGAAAGTTGGGTTTGGAGAATACCACCTCTGCTACATATTCCTTCCACCCCGACCCTACTGCCCTGAGCCATAAGTCAGTGTTAACACCTGTTTTCTGAACTCAAGACAGTACACCTCTGTCATGCCAGTTATCACACTGTTTTAGAATTTGTTACTTTTTAGCATTAGTTTTTATTTTGCTAGTATTATAAGTATATATTGCTTATATATATTATATATATAAGTATATATTATTTGCTAGTAATATAAGATATATTATATCTAAATGTATTAAATACTATTAGATAAGTGTCTCACAAATGAAATATAGCACAATTTCATTTTTCCACTCTATTGAGGAAAAGAGTTCTCATAAAACAGTAATTTGTGGCTTCATCATGCTTAAAGAAACAGTTTTACTCTAGCCACCAAAGCAGCTCTGTTGGTATCTTTATTGTTTGGTCTCTAACATAGTTATGGTCTTTGAATGTCTTTTTTGCTTATCTTTATCTGTCAGCTCTGGGAGATTTTGAGTTTGTGTTCTCCTGGGCTCAGATCTTGTGAGAAGAGCCAGGAGCAGGGGCTGATCTGGTGCCTGACCTGGGAGTTGCCGCAGGCAGAGACCGCTCATGTTCCCATATCTCCCAGACTGCTTTGGAGCCCTTGGGTCACTGCTTAGGTAGCAGTGGGGTCATCTGCATGTGTGGGAACTCAGCTCCTCTGCACGTTCCTCCTTCTGTGTCCATTGTGGCAGCAGCTGCTTTAACATTAGCTCTTTGTAGTCCCACTGTGAAGATAATTTCTTTGTCAGAAATGCACACCTGTGTAGGCTTTTGATGCTTCTTAGCATCAGATGGGATGAGAAATAATTGGAGGCCACAATCCATGTTTGGATCACAGCTTAAGTCATAAATAAGGTAGACATTATCATACAATATCTACCCTTGATACAACATCCACCTTTGGTCTTGCTCTTCACCAGAGCCCGATCTGGGACATAGTCTCAGCAACCATTCATATGGTCTTTAAGTTGTTTTTAGTATCTGTGCCATTATCTAAATTAGACTTCCAGTTCACCTTCACCTCGTTCTTTATCTATTTCCCTTCATGGGTGCTGAACATGGCAGGAGTGGCCAGTTTTAGGTGGTTTAAATTTATCTCCATGCAACTTTTACAGCTTTCCTCTCCCTTGTACTGAACAAAAGGAAAACTTTTTGGTTATCTCATATTGGAGAGCTTTCCTTTACTATCAAAACTGGGTAACCATCAAGACATTTGTAACTCCCAAGATCGTCCCCTTCTTTGTTTTTTGCTGTACAGCCCCATTTGCCTGGAGCTCCTAATAGAGCCCCTGAGCCTAGACTGTGGCCACAGGGCCATACTGTGTCCAGGTCAGAGAATGAGCATCCCTGTGCTACCACCCAATGATTTCCCCTTCTGACTGACCAGCAGTAGTTTCCAACTGGGATTTTCATTCCCATCTGGGAGGCCCAATAAGACGTGAATGGCCAGGTTCACTTAGCGTAGGTGGGGTATACAGTCAGGAGTCACAGCGTGCTGGCATGGTGTCCCAGGTGAGCTCTCTTGGCGGTGATGGCCCTTACACTGGTGCAGGAGGTACTTTATCTCAGCTTTTTAAGAAATAAGAGTAGAGGGATACATGTGGAACTACCATAGGCTAGATAAGCCTAATGCTACACAGGACTGATTACCTTGTGAAAGCCCTGAGCGTAGCTTCTGGAGGCCTAAAAGACATATCTGATTATAAATCTCAATCCCCTTGTAAAAAATGCGGTCTCTGCTTACCAACTGGCATGTCTTCCTAGTCCAAATGCACTTTATGCATCAGGCCACTTTTGCTATCCATTAATGTTGCCTTGCAAGGCAGTTGACCTTCCACTTTATTGTAACCCAGCAGGTTTCCCAGAAAAACAAATGAATACTAACTACTAGGGGAAGAGTAAGTCAATATTATCTTTATAAGAAGAAAGCCAGGCCTGATGTTAACTCCATTCCCACATATCTAACCCAACCCTGGCCCTACCCTTTGACCTCGTCCCTCCGTCTGACCTGCTGCTCTCCATTCCGTCATTGCTTGTCCCTCTGGCTCTCATCACGAAACCGATCTGTCCGATCCCACTCTGGGTCCATTTCACATTTCATAGCCCGAGCGCAGAGGGAATTATGTCCTCACTCTTCTCTGACGGGAAAACACTGGTAATTTCTCCTTGCTCTTCGGGAAGAGTCCCTAAATGTTATGTAATTTGGGAAGTATCATATTTTATGGTCATCAGAGGCTCATGTGATACCAAAGGCCTGGCAGTTTTCTGCACACCAGCCACATTTGCCTTTTAAAACTCATAAAAGATGGTATGTCTCCCGTGAACAGGTCGTCTGCTCCACCTAATCTTTCTTCACTCTCTCATTCCATACTTCTTCATCTTCTTCAGCATCCAGTTCAGTACCCTTTTTTTCCGAGTTGGAATTCTTGGAAAACCAAGAATTTGCCCCGTTATTTGATTCCCAGAAACATGTACATCTTCCTAATAGTGTTTTTCAGATCTGCTTCTTTGTATATGTGTGGCTGATTATTTGTCTTATGATTACTTTCCAGATGAATTGGCAAGTAGTGGTTTACACCCTCTCTTTAGACTCATGTTTGTGTTTTATGGAGATTAGTCCAGTTGCTAGCATATAATTCATTATCAACAATAATTAGTTGAATGATCTTGCCACTTAATTTTGACACTTCTTTCTCAAGACTGACATTCATTGCATCCATGTTTTTTTTCAGGTATTGGCTTGTGTGATCTTGCGAGTGTGTATTACATCTCCCTCCACACTGTCCGCATACAGACACTCCTGTAGTGTAGACTCCTGTCTACGTCCTTGGCATATTTCCAAGCCAAGGTAAAATCTCACCACTTAAAAACACAAAAAACTGTCCAGAGTCTCCCAGATGATCTGGATCACTTCACTTCCATATCCCCCATTGCTCTCTTTATTAATTGGATCATGAAATTATCTCTGTTGGTCTCTGATTAACTTGCTGGGATAGGAGACAGACTTCTGAAGGATGATCCTGAGTACATTAGGGTCATCCCAACTCTGTATTGAAGGTAAATGATCTTTGTAAGTCATTTACTGTCTCTGTTTGTACATCTGATAGAGAGCTTGCCCTGACCCATGTACACAAACACATTGTCATATATTCTGTCATGCTAATAAGAGAAATCATTGCAAACTTATAGCAAGTGATGGCAGTGGTTATGCTGTAAATAAGGTAGAGCATGTCCTTCTGATAAGAGAGCTTGTAAGGAGAGTTAATACTGAACTGCAAGAGTGAGTCATGCTGATACCCGGGGCAGCATTCCATGCTGAAAGAAGAGCAGGTGTGAAAGCCCATAGGCTTAAGTTGTTTGGTGCTTCTGACATTGAGGATGTGTTTTTTATATGGGTAAGAAAAAGCAAGATCAGTGGTGAGTCACACAAGGATCTTGGTAGAAAAGGCTGCAGGTCATCCTTTTTGTTTAGCGAAAGTAAAGGAAAATCACCATCATTGCAGAGATAAGGATAGAATTTGTCATGTCTTATGAACCAAGACTAAAGTGCTTGAAATTAATATGAAAAGTCCTTTTTATCAGGTCACCAAGCTCCTTTCCTTGTTTCTCTACCTTTTGATTTTTGTCCTTTAGTAGTTTGGTCTTGGCCTCTCCTTGATTTCTACACAATAGTATCATTTTGCTCCTGCCTTTCTTACTCTGCTCCCTTTTAAGCTTCCCAGTCATACGGGATCTGTGAACAAGAAAGGCCTCAGAAGTAAGAGCAGGTTGGAGAAGGGGCGCAGTTGAGATGGCTTTAGAACTCTTGGCGAATATAAAGGAGGAATTGACCTGCCCCATCTGCCTGTACCTCCTGGTAGAACCCGTGAGCCCAAAATGTGGCCACACCTTCTGCCAAGCCTGCATCTCTGCACAGAACACAGAGTTAGAGTACCAACAAAGGAAGATCATCTGCCCTGTATGCCAAAGGGTTTATTATGCTGGGAAACTGCACCCTAATCGGAGCGTGGCCAACATAGTGGAGAAGCTCAGGAAAGTCAAGTTGAGTACAGAGGAGGAGCAGAAGAAAGATCTCTGTGTGCGCCATGGAGAGAAACTCGTACTTTTCTGTAAGATGGATGGGAAAGTCATCTGCTGGCTCTGTGAGCGGTCTCAGGAGCACCGTGGTCACCACACCTTCCTCATGGAGGAGGTTGCCCAGGAGTACCAGGTAAGAGATCCGAATGAGGAAATAAAGGGCAGAAAACGGTACTAGATGGGATATCTCCACTTTGCATTGGACCTTAATTACCTTGTCACTATAGGCCCGAAACCTGTGATGTCTTTTCTTTCCAAGCTCACCTTCGGAAGACTGGAGGATTCCATCTGTGCATTCCATCCAGTTACAAAAGGATCAGCCTAGTGCACAGGCTCTTATCCAAGAGTAGATATTTTTGTACCTTGTGCTAGATGGGTAGAGATTGGATGCCCAAGAAAATCTCTAATTATCCCTTTCAACAGGAAGGGTAACTGGGGAACTGGGTAGACTGAAATACAAGCTCTTTCCTTGCTGCAGAATCAGGCTTCTTTTGATAAAGGGATGGTGACTTCTATCACCTGAGTCTCAAAGAAAACATTCACCACCTCGGGTTTTCTTACAAGTCACAGATTCTAATTGCTGTTCTCACAGTTTCTGTGAATTCTAGTCTCTTCAGAGACCAGCCTGATTTCTTTCCCATTCATCTCTATGTTGGTGGTGAGAAAGCCCATAGCTGACCATGATCACTATGATTACTCTTAGGAGAAGCTCCAGTCAGTCCTGGAGAGGCTGAGAGAGGAGGAACAGGAAGCTAAGAAGTTGGAGGCTGACTTCAGAGAACAGAAAGCTTCCTGGAAGGTAAAAGGAGACGCTTCTGATGGAGTAGATGGAAATGTGGGCAGGACCGTGGATGTCCATCACAAGGAGCTCCCTTCCTCTTCGTTCTCTGGCAGTTGAAATGTCCAAAGTCATTTGATCCTCTTCCTGATTGGGGTAGGGGCCAAAAAATGAACATGTCACAAACGAACACACATATTTAGAGGGAGGTATTCACTGAGAGGGACTCTCTGGTGTGGAGAGCTGGTAAATTCTGTATTTTATTCCCATTGTGTTTTTGAGACTGACTACTCTGGAAGAAGACTTCAGCTCCTGAGAGAAGGAGAGGGTGACCAGGAGTGATGCAGGGGGCACAGACTGTCTTGAACAGCTGTGTGAATGCTGGGCCACACCCATGTACCCCATTTTGGCTCAGGGTTGGCCTCAATAATGCAGGCTTGAGGCCATTATTTTAGAATGTGATAAAGGGAAATAATAGGAAGTCAGGTTCCCTCCAAAATTGCTTCCCTGTTCTATGTCACCTCCCTGTGAGAACTTCCCAAATAAAAAGTCCTTTTTCTGGCTGCTAGTCTGTGCCTGATAGCCTGTATACTTTTCTCTTCCATGAAGATTCAAATACAAAATGAAAAACAAAGTGTCCAGGAAGAGTTTAAACAACTGAGAGATATCCTGGACTCTGAGGAGAAGAAGGAGCTGGAGAAGCTGGTGAATGAGGAGGAAGATATTCTCGATGACCTGGCAGAGGCTGAGAATAGGGTGACCCAGCACAGTGGGTCCCTGAGAGAGCTCATCTCAGACCTGGAGAAGCGGCTGAAGGGGTCCACAATGGAGCTGCTGCAGGTAAGACTCAGAAAGAAGCTCTAAGATCTGAGATTAGAGAAAGGTGAAGACTAAGGCTCCTTCTCACCGGTATTCCTGGGCTGCTTCTGGTGGTGACACTCAGGCTCCTGTGCCCTTGCAGTACCCCTTTCCCTGCATCTGTTTTGGGGGTATAACAATAATTGAATGCATGAGTAACAAGGGAGCATCTCATATTTATTCATTTATCAAGTGCAGTGTGTAAGTTTGACCGTGGAGAGAAGACCCGTGGTGTCCAGTGGTAGTCTGTAGGCCCTGGTCATCTGTGACCTAGTGTGAAGTGTTTATCGGGTACCTCATGAACAAATGAACTACAGATTCCAAGATTTCTCTCACAATAATGAATTGCAATTTTTCTCCCATTTTCTACTTTCTGAAAAAGACAGGGAAAAATTAGGATTATTTATTCTTTAACAAGTCAGTAAAACACACTAGTGAAGCCATTTCTGGGCTTCTCTTTTTGGAAAAGTTTAATATTTTTTTGTAGTAGGTTTATTTTAACTTGCTTTATAACACCTACATTAATACATTTGTGTGTACCCTCAGCAAAAGCCATATATACTTCTTGAAGTATACTATGATTATTTACTCAACTTTGATTCTCCAAAGCCTGGCATGATCTCTGACAAATAATAATACATCGCTTTATATTTCTATTGAGTAAATGACAGTACCATGAATTGGTGAAACTATCTCATGAGGAACCTAATGCATTTGGGGGAAAAATTCCAGAACTTTTGTTTTCTTCATAAATCTGTTTCATCTTCAGATCTGCAAAGTTCATTCTATACTTCCACAAGGGTCAAAACTGTTTTTACCTTTTAGGAAAACTGACACCCTCACTTGAGTCTTATGGAATGAGTGACTGGCCTGGGTCTTAACATTTACTTCTTTGGCTCTCACACTGGCACTCTATTCCCACCACAGGGGGCAGTGGGGATGTGGGGAAGCTTTGTAAGTGCGGAGAGCCTATTGTTTCTTGACTCCTGTTTTCTCTTTCCTCCCTAGGATGTGAATTACATCATAGAAAGGTATGTGTGGGAGACCAGAGATGATCTTTTGTGCTGTGAAAAGAGGTTTAAAGTTATTAGTGTCATCTGGTGGTCAATTAGAATAAAACACCTCATAGGGCAAGAAAATTTGAGTGTAGTTTTATGTGAAATTTCTGTTCACAAGTCATTGTTTCAATGTTCTGGGACTAGAGAGAATTCTATAGAGGGCATTTATTTGGCTTGTGGGAACAAGGGCAAGATTCTATGAGGGGCATTTATTTGGCTTGTGGGAAGCCGCAGAGTTTGGTTATCAGCAGTAAACGGTATTGCAGTATCAGACCTCTGTGACTTCATACATTTTATTTACCCTGTGTGCTCGTATATAACTCAGGTTCTCTTATTTTATAGGTACTTGACTTATTGTGGGAAGGTCATGTGTTTTTTATCTGCCAAACAGCCAGTTGGAGACAACTCCTTTATGTTTAAATTCTGCCCAGGATATAGCAGAGATCAGATCTTTCTATACAGTTCTGTTTGTATTTCCCAAAACAGACTTGAATCTCAAGGAATATTTGGCCCTGGTGCAAACACTCGATCCATCTTGATCACACACTTCAGAAGCCAAGTGCCAAGGCAGCATCCTTGTGTCTAAATTTGCACACCTACCTGGCAGCATCAAGTTCTTTGCAGAACATGAAATTCAGTCTACTACTGTTAGTCTGGTGTTCATAATGTCTTCTTTTCCAAGTGTTTGTAATTTTTCCAGAGAACCTGAAATCTCAAATGTTATTCTGAGGAACTCCCTACTGGGGAGAACACTTTGAACTTTCCTCTCCAGACAGTGTTCCTACACTTGATATATCTCAAACATCAACAAGCCAGGTTAGGCTACCTCCCTCTCTGATTTCCACACATTAGTTTTTTATAAAGGTACCAAAGTTTTGATTTGTTGAACCCATCATTTCATATTTTTTCTACGAGGTAGAGAGGGAAAGGTTAATGATTTCATTTTGGAAGGAAGAAACTTTGCTTTGGAGAGGTCAGGACCTTCCAAGATCACACAGAGGGTAATTGGGAAGGTGGACATGAGCTCCTTTCTTCTGGCTCCAAGGTTAGGAGTCTACTGTCTCCTTTCTCAAGGTCTCTGGGAAGAATGGTTCAAGTGCATCAGTAGGGTGAAAAGATATGTCAGTGGTTGGAGGGACAAAAAGTCAGAAGTGTGGGGGTCAATTTTTGTCATCTCCAGGAGTGAAACCTTGACTCTGAAGAAGCCAAAAGCCATTCCCAAGGAACAAGGGAGAGTGTTCCAAATGCCTGATATGAGAAGGATACTGCAAATGTTTGATGGTAAGGAGTGCTAGCAAGTGGGTGGCTGTGAGTTTCTTCTGATGACGGGGGCTAAATGGGGAAGAGGGTGTGGACAGAGGAGGCACAGGAGGATAGATACTGTGAGGCTGGGTGATACGCTTGTATTCAATGGGGGGCAGCCAGGGGTCTGATTAGCCCCTCATTCACCAGTTCACTTCCTGACCATAGTCCCAAGTCCTCCTCCTCATCTAGAGAGGAAATAGATTTCAGGGCTAAGTCCTTTGCTTATCTTGAATATTATGCATTTTTATCATTTCAGAGCTGTTAAATGGGCAAAGGTAAGAAGTCACAGTTACCACCAAGCCATCATCTTCCAGAATTGTTCGTTTTCTAGAAATGTTTTAAGACTTGTGTTTCCCCTTCCAACACATACTTATAATACGTTTCTGTGATTTTATACCTCTTCTCAACAATGGAGCAAAGTTCTTGCCAGTTCCCACCCAAGTTATCCTCAAGATCCCTCTCACAATGTCACAAATAAAGGTACGTCATATCCCTCACCCAACTCTGTAATTTTTCTGCAGTTCATGTGACTCTGAATGGCTCCAACAATAAATCATATGTTGCCATTTCTTCGAATTGGAGACAAGTGAGAGATGTGTGCAGTTGGAAACCAAATAATGTATATCTGAATGGTGTTTAGGATGATTATGGTGTCCTAGGCTCCCTGGTTATCAGATCAGGGAAACATTGGGGTACAGATGTGTCAAAAAGCATACCTGGATCCTGGGGGGGGGTGTGCTATAATGGAAAATAATCTGAATCCAGTATGAAATTTCTTGTTAGATGAGGTGAAAATCATCAACATGTTCAAGTATCCACCTAAATATGGCTGCCGGCTGTAGGGTTACAGAATCAACTTAAATATAATGCCTTGGAGGAGTCCTCTAATCCCTTGATCTTAACCCTCTCCCTCACTGTGCCCCCCACCGTGTTGGGGTTTTCTAGGACTATAAGGCTGCCACTGTCTCATTTTTCAGTGCCACCAACCATGAGTTTCTCATCTATAAATTCTCTTTATGTTCTTTTTCACAGACAAATTTTCCACATTTCAGTCCTGTGAAATACAGTATCTCCATGACTGATTGCCAAGCTCTTGAACCTTCTCACGCTCTCACTCGCTTGTCTGCAGTTCGTCTTGCTTCGGGTGCATCTAATGCACTGAGCTTATCTGCACCATTCTGGCCATATTTTTGTTGCTGCCTCCCTTTTTTCCATTTAAATATCCTTTATTCATCAGTAAGATCTACCATTTGCCTCATGTCATATATTCCCCAATATCATGTTTGCATTAGGAGAGAATCTTAATTCATTTTCCATGCTGCCAAGAAAAAATTGACTAATGTCTCGTAAAGAAAGTCCAGTATTGAGATAATACCTCTGCCACATGTTTACAGTCTCATTTCCTCTGCCAATGCCTGAGAAGGTGAAGGTAAGCTTTTTAATAACTTTTGTGTACTATCAAAGAGCTTGTATAGGAATCATTTACTACAGAATGAGTTCTTAGCACTGTGTCAGTTTACCCATGATGCCTCTTACTCATCAAGGAGTTAAGGAGAAAGTATCATAAAATGTACTAAGAGTGGAAGTTTGTGTCCAGAGTGTCTTGTGTTCAAGTCCAGTCTCCATATACTAGTATATCACCTTGAACAACATACTTAAGTGCTGTTTTTCTTAAAATCATCTTGGTACTGAAAACTGCACCATACTTAGGATCATTGCAAGAAGGTTAATGTCATTAAGTGTAAAACGTTTAAGTGTCTTAGCTTAATAATAAATGTTTACTGTACTAATTATAGAAAAATAAGGCTGTGTCACTGTCTCATGAAACAGGTTTGTGCCTTCAAGAGCACTAGAGCTACTTTTACTGAAGTCTCATTTGTCAGATCCCAGGTGCTGCTCTGTTACTATCAAGGCTACTCCAGCTTTGCCAGTAATAGGTGGAGTGTGTATGTGTGTCTTATCACAGAATATTTTAATTCTGGTGTTGCTACATACTGGTCCTTACCAAGTCAACTAAATTATTTGGGATTGTTTGGTTTCTCATTTGTAAAAGAAAAAATTATATATATATATGTAATTTACCTGATGTGGTATTAAAAATTAAGCAAGACTGCTTTCAAATCTTCTGTCATTTCTAAGATACAGGCAGGCAGTGGTCCAGTATGTTGTCTGTTCATTTCTTGGCTCCCTCACCCTGTGACTGAGATAAGTGATAAGAATACCCCCATGCTTGGCTTTAAGAAGTTAATAACTGATTAAAGAATTAGAATTTTTTAAAAATTTAACTAATAGTAAAATAAATGTTTCTGTATATAGGCCTAATCTTGTTTTGTTTTTTGTTATTTCATTTTCTGCAGTATTTCTGTTTCATTGAAACTGAATTTGTTTGGAATCTCTTGGCCCAGCCTTAAAAAGTTAATCATTCACAGTGCTACAGTGAAAGTCAGACGTGCACTGTGGCATTTCTTGGTCATGGCATAAGAATGTGTTTTGCTTTCACCGGCCAGCTTTACCTTTGCAGGGAGGTGAAAGCTCCCAGGAACTAAAAGAAAAACCTGTCCTTTTCCTTCAGTGAGATAGAAGGGTTATTACTTCTTCAGTGAATTACTTCTTACTAATTCAGGGTTTGCAGGGATCCCGTGTCTTTTAGAATTTTTATTCCCAACTCTTCCTCCACTGAGTTCAGAACTAGAAAAAAAAAGTGGGCTACTGGTCCGGCAGTAAGTTTCTTCCTGGCTAGTCCCTAGGAATTCCTAAGTCCCTCCCCTTTGGATGACCTTTGATGACACAGGGATTCCAAGGTGAGTATCTGTAGTATATGTGTCAGCCTCCTCCCTGTCTCCAACCCCGCAGAGAAAGGAGGCGACGCCATCAGATACTGAAGACCTGAATAGGCCAGCCAGCGGACTCAAGGCATACCAGCTCAAGAGTGGTGCTGGAAAGACACCTCTCATACTTATTGATCAGGCATTACATTCTTGAGTGGGTTAACAAGTTTCTAGACACAATGATTAACATGCTTTACTCCAGGAATGTAATTGCCTCCAGGTCTCTGGGGCAAGTCGTCCCTCATGCTAGACAATGAGGGGGTAGGGATAACAAGAAACAGATCTCGGTTTAGATTTAGTGAGCTGCACATGCACCACAGATTCCAAGGAAGGCAATCAATTCCCACAGAAACAGAATGATCTATGGATGGCAACCTACAGTTCCCCCGTTTTTAAATCAAAAAGGAAGAGAAGTCCATTATTCCAACGCAGCTTTGTAAAGAAAGGGGCGACAAGAAATGCCTCATCAGGGGGAGAGAGGTGCTAAGCCACACTTCAGTTGACCCCCTCATCTCTCGACCTGTTGGCCCCTGCGACTGTGCCTGTCTTAGATTGTTCCTCCCATGAGGAATCTTACCCATCTCTGGCTAGCCAGCCATTTCTTGGCGCCGTGCAGGGAGTAAATACGATAGAGCAAAGAGGCATACAAAAGATTTATGCAAACACTTCGTCATCCCCTTAATTGGTGTGGAATTTTAAAATATAGTGATCTGTCAGTCTCTCAAGAAAATAACATGCAATTATTTTTTTGCCATGACTTCTTGAAATATAGCATATGCATGAATTGGCTTTAGTAAGTCAGCAATCAGATGGCACACCTATGCTACCAAAACAGAAAGGCAAATGCATAAAAGAAGTAGGCCTACAAGTATTGGCCATAGCCAGTGAAACCAAGAGAACCAATCAGGTAATCTAGGTAATTGTGAAAACTTATCAATAATATGAATATCATCCAACTGGTTTTGAATTGTTTGTGAAAAATCAGATATATTAAAACAACACATTCCAGGAAATTGTTCACAGCCCAAATGTTCTTTCAGCAAGAAATAGTCTATGGTAGCATGATTCTGAAGCACTGCCACTCGAACTTCTCCAAGTTCCTTATTAAGTTCTGACAGTATGGAAGCAGTCAGATTTGTAGTCGTGCTGTAGGCATATGCTAACTTAGATATTTCCTTCTGCATTCTTACAATGAGTCCTGGTACAGGCAATACAAACGCAGCTGCGGCTGCAACAGCAATGGGGTCCAACAATTTCAAGTTGTCATTACAATCTGGAGGCAGGGCTCAGGTCACTCTTCGGTGTTTAAATCCAGGATGATCTATAAGGGCTGGGAGAATATGTACTATACCACAAACGCCTTGATAATGTGAGGAAAAGGCTTGATAGGTTTTTGTTATCACACAAAAACACCCAGCCATTTGAAGTCTATATCCATATGGCCATTTTACATGAATAGTAGAATTACAGTAAGAAGGTATATTAGTACAATTGATACGTATGCAATTAGAAACTATAGTGGTGCTAACTGTTAAGTTCAGTTGAATTTCTCGAGTAAGAATCTTGGGGGTTAAAGTAATATTTATTCCAGAAATATTAGTAAGCACTGAAAAAGGGAGTCCAAATCAAAACCACTTACCAAATTCCTTTTTAAGATTCCACCAATAGAGGAATCACCTACTATACAAAAAGATGTCTTATTAAGCCCTTGATTAGCCAATTGCAACCACATATTGGGTGAAGAATACTCATTCTCTGGGGTTAGTGAAATATCCAAATAAACATAACTACTTTTATATATTTGATCAGGGCTTCCCTTCTGGAATTTTTCAGAATAATTGCCAATATCATTCTGGGTTAAAACTTTTATATCATACTGGATATTGTCTCTTTTAGACTGATCAGTAGCATTATCCCAACCAAATTTTCCTCCACCTTTGTCTATATATTTCATTATCATCCTTTTTCCAAATCACCAGGCCTACAGGAGTTGAACAAGTGGAGATACAATGAAGTACTACTCCCCAGCCAAAGTAGGAGGACTGCTAGTACTAGCAGTAATAGTACAGGCCTGGGTTATGTATAGGTATATAGAGATTAGAATCAAAGACTTCATTATCATGTAGGGATTCTCCAGTGACAGATCCGGTTGAGGGACATCGCCTGGGACAGCCTTCTCAGATGGCAATATTGCTGGGAGTTCCTCTTTATAGCGTATCTTGATCTGCTTTCTAGGTAGCCAGTTCAGGCATTGGTCCTCTGTAAACACAGACACAAATGATCCCTTTGCCCCACACCTTAATATGACCTTTATACCATTGTGAAGAACCTATTGGAGACCACCATACAGGAACTGCTGTTTTAGAAGAAGAAATATTGTCAGAAAAATGCACTTCCATAGCTGATTGTCTGTCACCCTTTAAAAGACCAAAATCAAGGATACGTAAAACATGTATTAATCGTTGATTTGCAGTTAATCTTATCATATCAGGCAATAATACCCCTTTTTGTTTTAATAAATAATGCTTAAGAGTAAGATGGTGATGTTTAATTAGAGCTTGGCCTGTAGAATTGTATGAAATACCTGTTTTATGAGTGATATTATATAGCTGAAAAAATTTTTTTAGAGTAGAGGAGAGGTAAACTGGAGCATTGTCAGTCAGCTTAAGAGAAAAAGCTTAAAACATTTTGTCAGCAACATTTGAAACAAAAAGCCACAAAATCGTCTTCTTTAGTTTACTTAATCCTGTGTAACTAATACTTGTTCCGCTGAAATCTAGTTCTTTACTAGTTTAGGAGTAATCAAACAGTGACTTTAAATGACAAAAGACTTACAAATGACAATGGTTCAAGACTTGATGAGAGCTTACATAAGATAGTTGACATAAGAAAATTTGAATATTTCTGTAACAAAACATTTAGTAACAAAGTTTAGCATCATTCCTTTTGACAGTACTTTCTAGGTAAATATATATCAGATAAATAAGCCAAATTAGCCAAATATTTTTCCCGATGAGGAGAAAAAATTCTTCTGACATATTCTAGGGGCCCTCTGGAAAATATGAGTTAACTAGAGGTAAAAGCACCTTTTTGAATTTGATTTTGGAAAGTTGTCAAAAGAAAGTTTCTTTGGCATTTGCTAAAATAAAATTACAGGTTGCCATGAAGCAATACTTATTTAACTAGAATGAGAACAAAGTACTTCAAAGGCAGATACAGAAGTTTACACAGTTGTTAGCAAAGTTTAACTTTTAGTCCTTTGATATTAGAATCTCATTTTCTTAAATATTCAGACAATTCACTGAGACTTTAAGCATGAGAAACTATTTTGATAAAACTAGAAAGCCTTTTGCAACATTAAGAGCGGACTAACAGTTTAAGAAAACTGTCTTTTTAACTGAAAACAAAATTCTAATTTTGCTTTGTACTTGATATCAAGACTCACTTGCTTTAATTTTACATAGCATGACTTTATCAATTTTTCCACAAGCTTTCTAAAACTTTCTTTTTACATTCAGTGTTCTCCTTTAAATAAATAGCTGTACTTTAGAACAATTACCTTCTTTTACCCTCAACAAAATGAATTTCCATTGTTTATACTTTCTCTTATTAAAATGCACATATTTAGCATACAGAAATATTTTCCTTATTAAGTAGTTTTCATTAGAACTTAAAACTATTTGATACTTTAACTTTCAGTGAACACTGAAAAATAGGCCACTGTAAACTGTTACACTAGCATTCTTTGATACATCTATGAACGTATATTATCATTTTTGGAAATGTGCTTTACAGCACAATTTCTCATTAGGCACAAAATATGTCTATGTAACTTAGCAAACTAAGAATTTTGGTTATCACAAAAATTCTCAGGCTATTTGCATATATATAGTTATACATTAACACAGTATTAAGATGTTTATTTGCTACATCTGTTTACTTATTTTTAGCAACCATGCTAGATTACTTACAAAATTTTTACCAAACATTAGACAAAGTCAAGCTTTTCTTTAAGCATCTTCTTGAAATGTTTAACAGGTAACATCAACTTAAATGACTTTAAGTAAACTTTGGCAGCTGATAACTATAAGGACATGTCCGTTTCAGTTAAACTTAAATTGGCATTAATGCTTAATATTTTTTTTAGATAATTATTTTTTATTGAAGGGTAGTTGACACAGTGTTACATTAGTTTCAGGTGTACAACACAGTGATTCAACATTTATATACATAATTCTAGGTACCAGCTATCACCATACCAAGTTGTTATATTTTGACTATATTCCT